TTCTGGCTCAATGATTAAGAAACAGCAGACCAAAGAGCAGAAAAATGAGCGATCAAAAAAAAAAAAAAACTGTACAAGACGAACTTGTAACTCTACTGAGACACGGAGTAATTACTCAAATTCATAAGATTTCTCATTTTTTCTTGTTTGCACGCTCTTTTTCATTTCTTTTTTTTCTACTTCCCGACTACTAGATTGTTGCTTTTCTATTTTCTCGACACTACTGTGTCACTGGGATGTACACGCATGTCGGGCAGAGTTTTGTGATACCCATCGCTCTTAAGCTGCATTGCAATGTTCACCAGCTCCTCGAGGTCGCCTACTCAGGTGCTATTTACTGATACGCAACAATTTTATGTTGCATTTATCAATAACCGTACTGGGATCTCATAATCATTTTAAATCTCACTGACCAGTTATTTTTTCCAGTAAACGAGACAGTGTGAAGAAAACTAAACTCATTAGATGTTGTGTAAAATGCATTTTGAAGTGACCTACTTTACGAGCACTCCTATAATATCCGAAAGAAAGTCTCACTTTTTGGATCTCTTTCCGCCTTGATCCTCACAGTGACTGGGATTGAGTTACCGCGAACGCCAAGTGCACAAACATGCTGCTCCTCATTGTCACAGTCCAGCTGCAAAACTCGTTACTTATACAAAAATGGAGACACAGTAATATAATGAACTGTTCTTGAAAACAGAACTGAAACGAACTTTAACAGCTGGGATCAGTTTCGAAATTTCGGTGCCAAGCAGTTCCCTCATCGAAACGTAACCAAGCAATGTGGCCATGCCGTCATCAACTCGAAAAATACGCCCCTGAAAACTCAGACCTAAAACTTCTATCGTAACATCGAAAATGTGATAAAATTCAAGCAAAAAACACTGAATTCTTTTCTTTTTCCCGCAAACTTAGACAGATTCAGAGTGCCTTAACATGAAAAAGAAATGTTTGTCTGACATCGCTGCTTTGGTACCTTGATCAACTGCGAAACATACCATAGTATTCCAACTATGCAACTGGCAGCTTTCCACTTGATCTAACTAATGCTGCATCACCATCTGATCAATCTTCTGGCGATTCAAATGTTATATCAGGCAGCTTAAAAACATATGCTAAATTTTTAGCACTAAACACGGGAAATTACTTTTGCGCCAAGGGTACAAGCCAGTGAAAGTGCGTCAACGGGCTCCACCGTGACGAGCCATCGTCTTGCTGTTAAGCCATCTCCGATATGTCCGTTTTCCATTTTCACCTCATTTTCTTCCGTCGTTTCTTCATTACTTTCTTCTGCTTTATTATCATTTGCTTTTTCGTCTGAAAAGATGCAATTTTATCATCGAAAAAAACCAAGCTAATTTTTGGAAAACGGATAAACCACTTCCTTATGAATTGACCATTCGTTTCA